GGCATCCGGCCACGCCCGCCGTTCACCCCCGCCCGCACCGCGTCTTGGTACCGCCCGCACCGCGCGCCCGCCCGCTCCGCCCGCCTGGGCGCGACCAACAGCGGCCACAGGGGGGGGAAGGCAGCGCCTTCCGGCCGGGCGGGGCGCGGGCGTACGCCACGTTGCCCCTCGCTGGGCGACTGCGGAGCTGTCCATCAGGAGCGGAGCGCAGCGATGATTGGTCAGTGATGGGGAAGGGGCGGGACCGGGGGTGGCAGTGGCCAATGGGCACGGCCGGAGGGCGGGAGCTGAGCCGGGCCGGGCCTCTTGTTCCGGTATGTCCCGGTGTGTCCCTGCTGTGTCCCGCTGTGTCCCTGCTGTGTCCCCGGCAGCAGCAGCCCCTGGGGCAGGGGGACATGGAGCACCAGGAGCCGGTGGCCGCTCGGTGGCCGCAGCGGGAGGACGAGCCGAGTCCCCGGCGAGCTGCGGGTCGGTGTCGGGGTGAGGAGACACCACCGAGAGCCGAAGCACCTTTGAGAGCAGCTGGCACTGCACCCGCTCAGAGCCACCTGCAGCTGAACCAAAACGTTCCCTCGCTTGGAACCCGCTACACACTGTCTGTCATCTCTCGTGTGACATCTTCCCCTAATCCCCAGCCTTAAATGTACCATTTTCAGCATGAGCTTTCATTTCCTGTTCCCAAAAAATTTGTCTGGGGCCACGTGCACTCTGACAAGGAGATGAACCTTAAAGGTTCCCTCCCTGACCCTTGGAACCCACATCTCCACCTCTGATATTTATCTTTTGACACTGACCCAGACCTGATGAAAACCTAATTCCCTACATGTTCAATTAACTCCAGGGTTTACAATCACAGACTGGTTTGGATTCAAAGGGACCTTTCCAAGTCTAACCCCTGCCATGGGCAGTGACACACCTTCAGGGATGGTGCTAAGCTCAACACAGGCATCTGCAGCACCACAGACAATGCTGTGTGCTTCCAGCCTGGCCTCTCCTGGTATTTAAGAGAAATTAGAGCTTCTCTCACTCCTTCCTTTTTATCTTAACTTACTCCTTTTTATTTCAGTCTTGCCAGGGGGGCAGGTCCCAGTACCCCTCTCCCTGTGGTCCCTTCTGAAGAGCTGCCTTAGGACAAGGCATTCCAGGATGGCTGAAGAGGGAATGTGTGGACCCAGGGAGAAGGGAAATCGGTGCCACCACGCCTCGGCTGAGCTCTGTAGGGCTGAACCGCCCATGCCTGTAAAGCATGAAGTGTTGAGAAGGTCCTGCAAAGTCCCACCCGTGCGTGGTCCCCTCCAAGGGGAGCAGAGGGTGACAAAAGTACCCAGTAGAGCCAAAGGAAGACAAAACACGAGCGCCATGGTCAGGCTAAGGTAATAAATACTTCTATTCATGGAGAACAATGCAGCAGTGCAATGTTTTATTGAAAAAAAAAAAAATCATCTCACTTGATACCTCAGAAGACTGCATCGCAACGTTGGTGGGCCGAGAGCAGCGTCAGAGGCACCTGCGCCAGGAGCCCCCGAGAACCCTCCCCGTGCCTGGGCTCTCCTGGCTGCTGACCGCTCCCGGCACGGAGGGGAGAGATTGCCCAGGATAATGCCCTACATCCTACCACAGCATGGCTGGCTCAGTCTGCCTGCGTCTCCTTGTCACCTCCGAGCTCCCTGGGGACAGCGCTTCCCTCAAGCACAGGACTTGCTGGCAACCTGCTTGCTTTTCTTTTTACTTTTTTTAAATTTCTTTGTTAAAAAGCCACTCCACATCTTTGCCCTTTTTTTTTTGTTTGTTTTTTTTTTTTGAAGAGTCCAACGTACGATTATAGTGCAAGAGGGCTTGGTACAAGTGAGCATTACCAGCATGCCGTGAGGGGACAGTCCTCCCCTCCAAACACATCATTGTAGGATTAAAAGAACACCGTATCTCCGGAGAGAAGCTGTAGTGGGTCACCATGAAACAGCTTTCAAACCAACCCACTTAAAAACAAGGTCAGGAAAGTTTCTAAACGATCAAATACATTCACTTAAAAAAAACCCAAAAAAAAACAAACCCCAAAAAAACAATAAAACAAAAGAAACCAAAAACATTTAGGAACAAAACCTGTTGAGATGGCCCCTTTCCCCCCCGCCCTCCCTCACCCTGCAAACACTTACATATGCTGCAACTACAAGCTGCTCCTTGAGTGGAGGCAGCGAGGAATGACCAAACACGGCAGGAGATGCAGAAGGAATCGAGTTCTGGTGACAGGCACTTAGTGGGGCTTGGGAGGGCAGCAAAGGAAGTGTTTCAGGGCCCAGCTCTGTCTCAGCGGGCCGGGCAGCTCCCTGGGGAGCGCCTGTGCCCCTGGACCCCCCTCCCAAGACGCCAAACCATGGTTTCCTACAGCAGAGAGAGGAATGCCTGTGCCAGAGATGCAGCTTGTGGGAGCCACTGGCAGCGCAGGAGTTTGGAAATAGGTGAATGTGCCCAGGGCTGTGTCCCCGTTGTGGCAGGAGAGGACAGGGCACGCCTGGGAAGTGCCCGCGGGAGGTGAGTGCGGCCCTCCCTGCCCTGCTCACACCTGGCTGGAGGAAAGTGCTTTGCCAAGGGACAGGGAGGTGCAAGTGTGAGCTGAGGGCTCTGCATGGCGCTCACTGGGACAGGGCATGGAGAGAACACAGCAGAGAACGGAGGAAAAATGCCCTGCGGGGATCCCTCTCCCAGGAGGGAGGCTTTTCCACTCTGGCACCACGCCAGTGTCTGCCTGACTCAGGAATGCGTGAGGAGCAAGGCCAGAGCTCGCTGCCCAGGCTGATCTCCTGCCCTCTAAGCCTGCTCCTACCCAGCCAGGGAAACTGAACCTCCTGGCAATGTTGCTGTGTGAACACCACACCACACAGATTAGCGTTAAATCGAATAATGAGACC